TTTTAGATAGGTAATTTCGGGCTAAGCAGACCGATTGGCACTAGATACAACGCTGGAAGTCCCAACCCGAAATGGTCGGCTCCAGAAGTTTTACAGGATGAAAATAACTCTGACACGAAATCGGATGTGTGGTCATTTGGAGTCACAATTTGGGAGATATACACTCTAGGTTCGGAGCCATACGAAAATATCGCGAACAAAGATCTCTTCCAGATTCTTCTAAGTGGAAGTAGACTAGAAATACCGATGGCAATGCCCAACAGGATTGGAAACCTCATGAATAGTTGTTGGAATCTTGAACCAGGAAATAGGCCTTCATTTGCTGAAATTTATGCTAATTGCGTCGACTACGCCGAATCTACCTACATATAATATGATATCTTTTCCAATTTTTTAACTTTATCATAATTTCGTACGTTTGACTACCGGATTCCCAAATAATTATTTCTCGCTCTATTTCCAAATAAATCGAAATCGTCTACATGAAGTTGCTCTAAATATGTTCGCAATTTTATATTCATTAACCGAAATTTGGGAAAGATTAAGCTGCATCAGTCGACTGCACATTCGGAGCAGATATCATTAAATTCTGCTTAGGCGATTCACTTTTTGATTCCTTCTTGTCTCCTACTTGGCTGACAACAACCCAGTGATCTGCTAATACCTTACAGCTAATATTCTGTATTGATCGAAGGAAATTCCTAATAGCGTGATTTCTTAAGCCTATTTTGGTAGTTCGTATACCGTTGTCTACACTGATCCCACTATTTTCCCTCGAATTTTGTTCCACTATCAGTCTAATTAGGATCAGCCCTACTTTTAACTGTTTTTTCCTTCGAGGCCTGATAAATCAAGTCAGATGGAGTAAAATATGTGTGTGGTTGGGGTTGATTGGTGGGGCGATTGAGCTCGTGAATAGAAATTCTGAAATGGCCTATTGTGGAAAAGCCACGAGGTATTTATAAGTCCACCCAGTCAATAAAGCAGCCACATTTGATTAATCGTGTATTTGCAGATCCGAGGACATTTCAGCTAAATAAATAGCAAAATGATGTGTAGTGGAATCTAAGGGTTACCGATCTGTGGCAGATTGCTAAACTAATAAAATCTTGGCAAACTCTGGAATTTCTGCTTCAAATTCGCCTACATTTGGGTAGACTCCCAGAACCACCAAAGCTGCAGCCAAGGTGGAGAAAAAACAAACGTATCGCATGCAACACATTCATTTGGGAAGTTTAGCTTGGGAAAAGTGAACAAGTCGGAAGGTTAGTCCAAATCAATATGGTGAATTTGAGAAAAACAAAAATAGGCTTTTGATTGGCTATTGGTTGTGCGTTTGTCGCACTCACGACACACCTTTAAGTCCGTCTGCGAGCCCATACAATAACTTGTTAAGGGATGACGTGTTCCACAAATAGGACTCAACACCTGTTATGGCAATCTTCTTTCACAGGACTGAAAATTACTTGAATATTTATCGCAAGATCAATTAAAAAAATTGAATTAATAAATTAGATCATATCTAAACTTCTTAAAATTTACGGACTGTGCATATAAATGCACATTCGATTTATTGAATTAACTAGATCTTTCAATTTTTACTAATATAGAGATCGGATCTTAGTCGGACCAGCAAAAATACTGAACCATCGTCAAACGCGAGTAATGATTAATATATATTATATAATTGTCATTCAAAGTATCATTTCCAATTTTTCTTTTAACCTTTTTACTCTATTCATTTGACATTTCACTTGCCTTGAGAACAAGTCATTCCATACATTCTTCAACATGGTGTACAGTAGACTTACCTCAACGTGGTGCACCCTGGACAGGAATCGATCTATTAGATATTATTTAAATTGCTTATTATTTAAAAAATTTCATATCCAAATCCTTATGATCCAAATATGGGGTGTGCGATAGACTTACCTCCACGTGGTGCACCCTGGGCAACGTATATTCATACGGCAAAAAAGTCTATTAACCGGCAGTTGACTTCTGGCTTCAAACTACCATAACCCCACTGGATGCCATATTCTACCACTTCCACAGTAATCATCCTACCTTTTCTCTGCCTTTGTGCCTGTCTCTTTTACAACTGTAAACCACTCTTCTATTCCCCATCCCTCGAATTTCTGTTAATTTGATGTTCCTCCCCCTGTGAAGCCCGAAGTCAGCTAAAGGGCTAATGATAACAATCAAAACGCCTGCCATTTGAAATAAATAAATAAATGTTCCAAATATTATCCAAATATTATTCCAATAAAATATTTCTACTCTTGTTCATAGATTTAATCTAATTTCCTGCACAGAATGCTAACAAACTTCCAAGATCTCAGGTCATCTCCAAAATCTCGTCAAAGCGAAACACGAAGTTGCACGCTACTTCCTACTTCGTTCTATTGTCGAAATGAAATCTATAAGTTACAAGTATCCATATTTTAATGTTCATTGCCAAATTCGAAACACTCTGTTGCGAATATTTCGTAATTTGATCAACAAAACTACTGAGCCATAATCAAATATTGGAAATTGCTATGATATATTAGGTTGGCAACTAAGTCGTTGCTGATTTCAAATAAGAAGGCAAATTCGCAATTTTGTTTAAAAATATAACTTTTTCAATTAGATATTGGCCGTTCTTGTCGATGACCTTTTTCCATCGTTCTGGCAGAGTAAAACTTCCCCCTTCGTAAAATGTCTGGTCTTTGCTATTAAAAAACTAAATTAGGTGTGATCCGACATCATCCGCGTTGTTAACAATTTTACCATTTAAGAGTTTTGCATGGAACGAAACAAATGGTAATCCGAAGGCGCAAGGTCAGGGCTATATGGTGGGTGTGACAAAACAAAACAAAACATCCCAACCCAGTTCCAATAATTTTTGCCGAGTAACCAAAGATGTGTGGGACCTTGCGCTATCATGATGGAAAACAACACCCTTCCGATTTGATAATGCCGGCCGCTTATCTTCAATTGCATCCTTCATTTTTTTTGAGTTCTTCAACATACACATTTGAATTTATCGTTTGGTTCTGCGGCATGAGTTCAAAATACAAAATTCCTTTGTGATCCCACCAGACTGACAGCATAATCTTTTTTGGTGAATCTCTGCTTTTCATACTGTTTGGGCTGGTTGATCTTGCTTCACCCATGATCTCTTGCGAGTAACGACATTGTCATAAAATATCCACTTTTCGTCGCCAGTAACTAGGTTCTTCCTCGGAAATGGATCATTCTCATTCTCATTGCGTTTCAGTAGTGGCGAATCACAGAT